TAATTTTTATTTGCCGCTTAGAAAGACGATTAACTTCAAAATAATCTTTTCCCTCGCGAAGAGGACCATCGAATTGCAGCCCGCTAAAAGTGTACTGTCTTATAACACAAGTTAAGTATTGAAAGTATACAAATCGAAATAAACATCCGTCGGACTCAAATTGGGAAATTATAAAAAGATTTCGTACGTATAAAACACCAAAATATTCCTAAATGATTATTTAACTTCGTAACGTTTTAATAATAATAATAATTAATTGTTAATTAACACGGCACTTTTAAATCGTATATTTTTAATGCTGCAGGTCAACGCATCGTTTCGCGGATATCAGCATTCCGTGGCGGATCGTTCCGGTTGGCAGACTGAGAATGGCCAAGTCGACCGACGTAGATTCCGCTTTGTCTTCGTCCAAACTTTCGCTCAGGCTACGACAGGCCAGGGTCTCTTTCACAGAGACGCCCGTGTAAGTAACGATGGCGACATCACAGAGGACTTTCGTCTACTCACGTCGCACGCGCCAACCAACGCAACGTCTTGNATTTTGTCACAAAAATCTACCTGGATTGATGGATTATGCTAATTCCAAGCTTAATAGATAAGATATTTTTTTAGTATTCTGCATTCACAGACCCATTTATAAAGTTTAGTTTTCCAACGCCTTTGCTGGATATGCATCTCCACATCTTTTGACTAATCGGAAACTTTACTCTCTGAATCAAGCAATCCCTGTTATAAACCTTGTCTTTTCTATTACTAATGTACGGTTCTACTGTCAGATTCTTGCAAGTTAATTTTAAATTTATCCTAAAACATAACAGATTCAAATGCTGAAGTCCGCGTGCTGTTTAATCCATATAAGCTGCAGTTAAACCGTTTACTCAATGGTAATGGCTTGGTACGACAATAAGCTTATAAGCCCATGTTATACAGATGACATTACAAATCTTGCATTCAGCTTTTATACCAATGGATTATATAGTACTAGGACTTTGCAAGTTAATGAAAAGCGGTCTCCTGTCTATGACATCATGGAGGATGCAATCTTTACAGTTTCTTATAGCAAAATATACTTTAANGCTTATAAGCCCATGTTATACAGATGACATTACAAATCTTGCATTCAGCTTTTATACCAATGGATGATATAGTACTAGGACTTTGCAAGTTAATGAAAAGCGTTCTCCTGTCTATGACATCATGGAGGATGCAATCTTTACAGTTTCTTCCTGATCTACAATAAAATGATACGTTAAAAAATAAAGACATCTCCATAGGATTTTATGGACGATGCAATTTCCATGGCCACTATTGCTATCAGGTAAATACATGGCACAAATGCTATCAGGAAAAATACAGTTTCAAAACATGTCTTTCTAAATGGTGAAAACAATGGGTTTTCACCATTTAGAAATCCATCACACCAGTAGTATAATTTACAAGTTTTTCTGACGGAAAAAACACAGAAGACCCGTGGCCGTCACCAAAATCAACAATATGACCAGTATCGGGATGATAATGGCTGCAGTATCTGGAAAGACAATGGCAAAGTATTTTAATAAGTAAAATTCCTCACAGTGGATCGTAATACTCGCTATACTTACTACTGTGAGAGGCCAGGCTGATGGCACCCTGCTGCACCATCACGCTGCAGTGTACCCCCACGAAATTTTCTGGACATCTACAGATTATTTTGCCCGCCGCCAACTCGCAGTAGCCTCTGTTTTCGAACAGACACCTCTCGGGTTGGGGCTTGGGATTCTCAAATCCTGCTGAATAAACATTTTAATGACGAGTAATGCTAGAGGTAAAAAAAAAATTTGCAAAAACATACCTGCGTTGCAGGATTCTAGGCTCCCTCCTTCGAACAGAGTGCCGTCAGGACAGGCACACTGGTATCCTCGAAAAATCAACAGGCAGAGATGAGTGCAAGATGTGGTGGAACATCTGTTGGTAACTGTATATGAGAGATAATAAATTAGACAATTCCTAAAAAATATCATCTACATGTAAGTATGCAGATCCCTATGTTGCAAAATTATTTCACAAGGACGTATTTATACTGACAGAATACAAACTCACTCGACATGTTATATTTCTGCTGGTGATATATCTTGACGCCAGCGGGTGTTACTTCCAAACTCCGTTTTGCGCGGACTTTGACAGTCCTTCCAAATTTGTCCTGGTGATATATTTCTCCGGAATCCTTCTCAATCCAGTACATGTGATCCTCAAAAATGTCCAGGCCAGAAGGATGATGTAAATTTGAAATGGAAAATTTATTAAATTCTGTCCTGGATAGAACCCACAAAGTAAGTTAGGGCATACGACCCACCTCCTCCGAGCACGATTTTGCGATCGGATCCATCCACATTCATCGACTCTATGACATTCTCCTTTGTGTCACACCAGTAGATTCTGTGATTTTGGGCATAATCCACCGTCAGACCCGTGGGATGGCCCAGTTTTTCGTCCGCCAGAGTCTTCCGCTTGTTTCCGTCCATCCACGCACTCTCTATCTTTGGCAGCGTACTGCTCTCAGTCCAGAACATCAGCCTGAAATACAACAATTATATTGTTTGGCAGAAAAATTTTATTTAACATTGTGCAATTTGTTTGTACTGCAACATTACAGAAAGTTTAGTGACAAGTAACAACAAACTCAAGGAGTGTAAAGAAAGAAACTATAACCCATTCTTTATGTAAAGATTAATATATGCTGACTATATAGCAGTAACAAGATGAGTATGTTGGCACCCCCAAGCAGAGTTTAATGTATCTAAACTAAGTATGAAGTATAAACAGACATTATTAAGAAGGCCAGATGTTTATCAAAATCAACTAAAATTATGGAACGACAACTTCCTGAGAAAGTCTGACATCATCTCTGTACTGTAGAGCATTCAATGTTCGTATCTCAAACACATGGAGTGTGAATGCCTTTACACACAAATAACAAGCCACCTTCTAAGATGTCTCATTTTCTAATGTTGGAAGGGAGATAACGGGTTCCCTGTTCTCTCCAGATGAAATGACAATGAGAATATGACCTTGATTGTCTTGACTCCACAAATGATACTGTCTCCTATGAGAGAAGATAAGATGTATACAAACCACAAATTTCCTGACATAAAGGCATACATTGTATAGCCCACAGTGTATGGTCTGTCTTGACTTGGCCAAGAGCTCTAAAGACTGTTCCTGGTGGTATATGTTCTGGTATGATGTCTTGTGATTAAAGCTAAATATTAATATTAATATTGGCCTTCTCTTGACATCATGCTCCTGGGCAACCTTGGCCGGGTCTCAAAACCATTGCAACTCTCTATTGGTTTGAGTTGGGTACACTTGTGTGAGGCATAGGGTAAGCAATCATATGCAATAAAAACCTTTTTGCACTCTCCAAGAATGACAAATGCCCATCATGTCAGCCAGGCATATATAGACAACTTATTTTGCACATATAAAAATATTCAAACTGTATTTTATTCAGTTTTTTGATAAAATATCTGAAATTATAGGCCGAGCTTTAAGCTAGGTTCGTTAGGAGTTGAGAATATCTCAACTTTTGCCAAACTCTAGTGATTGGTTAAAAGGTTCTAACTTAGTATGATGCAAACAATATTTTGTTTCAGTTAGTGTTCGTTTCATTCATTTATAGTCATTTGTACGACAGTGTAAACCAGGGGTGTCCAACCTTCCAAGTATATATAATATATACTTGTGGCCCTTAATCATACTTGTATATTTAAGGATTAACATGTCTAGATTATAATAATAAGTTTTAAAACTTTACTTCTCAGACACTTTCAATTTTTACTTAGAAATAGATTCTCCCTTTTAATGAAAAACACAAATATGTTTTATTTGGGTCTCTAAAATGGTGTTTCGTGCATTTTTATTTAAATAATATGTAGCCATAGTGCCAAATGATATTTTTTTATGTCAAACTAAAAAAAAATGTAGCCAAATCTTGCAATGCTGGAAGGAATACTAAATAAAGCTGGAGTTGTGACTCAAAGGATTATAGGACAAAAGATAAAGAAGTGAGAAAGGTTGGAAAATTAAGGGTCAATATTTGCATAACAGAAGTTCTATTTAACCTTTCTCTCCTTTCCCCAAATTTGAGTCTATAATCCTTTGAGTCACAACTCCAGCTTTATTTAGTAATTCTTCCAGCATTGCAA